ATAATGTGTTTTTATTATAATTTAAATTCATATTTTTTAATAACTTAATTGTACAAATTACTATTTATGTGTGTTGATACAATTATTAACTTAATTGTACAAAGTTTGTATTTTCAACTACCAATATAAGATACTTAAACAAAAGGAATTCTAAGCTAAAATACTACACATTACTACTCTACAAGGCTCTAAATTCTACTACGCTATAAGGGTCTACGTTTTACTACGCTAAAAAGGTCTGGATTTTACTACGCTAAAAAATAATCTAAACTAATCATAAACAACAAATAAATTTAATTGCAAATAAAATACAAAACGGAATGAAAAAACATATATATAAATCAGGATATTAACAGACAAATTTATTTTACTAATTTATATTTTTAGAAAACACTAATATTAAATCCGGATAAATTTAATATGCTAGTTTCGAAAAAAAACACAAACCGAAATAGAACACATTCAAATCAAATAATATACATTATTATAAATGTTTCAACTTAAAATAAATCAAAATACCTCGATTTAGAATTTTGGCAAAGCAAAAAGATTGAAATTTTGACTACGGAATTGTGAATCAACAATAGCACGAAACTCTACTCGAATGTGGGACCCTTTTTCTTCGAGTTTTATGTGTCGGGGGGACCCAATTTTTTTTTTTTTTTTAAAGAAAATGGCAGAAATGGTGGGGGACCAAGAAGAGGGGAAGGGTTTTAAAATAATGGTGAATGGAATCGGAGAAGAAGAAGGAGGGGTATAAAAAATCTATGTATAGCGCCACTATACCTGGCACTATACATTAATGTTGTATATATAACGCCAGGTATTGTGGCGCTATACCTGACCATGTCAGCTTTTACAGTATAACGCCACAATATCTGGCGCTATACATTAACGGTTCCGTTACTGTTAGTATATAGCGCCAGGTATTATGACGCTATATATAAAAAGGTCTTTTTTTTTACCACCTATTTGTCTAGTTTGAGCCCAAAAAATAACATTTTGGTTCCGACTCCCCTATGATACCCACGATTTTATCGTATGTTTACTTTTTCATATTTTGAATTTTCTTACTGAAAATATTGACTTTAACTATGATGTGATGTTTGCTCTCAATTGCTAGTTTAATATTCTTTTCTATCGCCACTAATATGTCATATTTGTCAAATTAAAATTTTAAGTTTCATACTAAATCAAACACCGACTTATAAAATAAAATGAACGATACAACTTTTTTCAGCTTAGTAAGTGTGGTATCCAAAATCGGACATATTAATAGCTCGTTTGGACATAAGAAATTTTTCACTTTTTTTCGAAAAAATTTCATTTTTTTTTTAAATTAGCGTTTGGTCATAAAATTTTCAATTTTCACTTGAAGATGTATTTTGGAATTTTTCGACAATTTGAAAAACTCCCAAAAGTTGTTTTTCAAAATTTTCACTCAGATCACTCACAAAACTTCAAAAACAATCCAAAATTATATTCATGTTCAAACACAATTTTTTTTTCAAATACCATTTTTACTTAAATTTTTTTTTTTTTTTTTTTTTGAATTTTACAATTCTTATGTCCAAACGCCCACATAATGTAGGCAACATGGATACTTCAGTACCTTAAATAGAGAAAGTAGAGAGGTTTATGCTCTGTGCTTGTCTTTTAGCCTGGATTTATGGTCGCGCATGACTTCTTCGGTTCTCGTTACGTTTCCATCGTCCCTTTGTTTTTGGGAGTAGAGATTTCATTTCTTTCTTATTACTATATTATTGACTCTTCTTTTGTACTACTTATTAGCTGATGATTTGGACATGATGACTTGTTTGACTAAAGTTGGGCAATGAGGCATGGGTTGTCTTAAAGTTTACGCAACTTATCGAATCACTTAATTACCTATTACTATGTGTTTTACTATCTTTGGGTTCATGGGGAAGTCAATATAATCATTTTAATATTATTATTGTTGTCTGGAAATAAATAATGTCAAGCTTTGGACCCCAAAAATTGTCTAGCTAACTTTTAATGGAGAAACTCATCTTCTAACTCGTTCCAGCTCGCAAAATGAGCAAGTTAAAATGCGATGTTATCTTTTGATCGTGTGCCAAATCATACGTTCTTTTCATATTAAATAACGTTACATTAATAGTATTGTATGCTTATGGGTATCCAAAGCTTGGACTAGCTTGGTTTTGAATATATCAAATATATATATATATATAAGAAGTTGTTGAATTACCTCGAAGACGAACGAGTACTGCTGAATACTTTCGTCGAGCCTCCTGAATCACGAATCAGATTGCTCTAAAATGATCTGAAGATATATAACATTGTTCGTATATTTTATATATAGTTACACATCAGTACGACAACTTTCCTCCTTAATATCAATCAACAACTCGCAACAATAGAAGACATGACTATTTGATACTCACCCTAACTTTTCAGTATGCATCTAAATTTTTCGTAATCCTAATTATCCCTAACTTGACTATTTGATACTCACCCTTGCTTTTGAAAACATTACGAATGTCATGAATTTCTACAATATTGGGATATTGGATTTATAAAAATGTTGAGCTGCTTGAATTCAAGGATTGACGTTATACCAAGTGTTATGTTGTCGCTGGTGATCAAGATTTATAGGGTTGAGACTCGTTGCTTTTGATGCTTTTTAAATAATATACAGCTCCCACGAGCCTCACTGGATTGGCAAAAACTGTGTGCTTATCTTGTGAATCAATCATAATAACATGAATTATTCATATAGCTATTTCATACTCCAGATGTCTTGATTTACCATTGTATACTTGGCAATAAGCTCTTGATGATATTGCTTGATAATCATAATAAACTGGCGTACAATCTGCAACGACTAATCCTTAACAAAATCTCTTTTTTTTAACCTATAAATGCAGGCTAAATGAAGAGGAAGTTCACTTAACTTAACAAGGCTAAAAACTCGTTGAGACTTCTCCCAAGCTCTCATAAGCATTTTGAAGAATAACAAGCAGTCGGGTGGACTAAGCTCCTGCTATGAGCCGGGTTAGGGGAAGAGTCGAACCACAAGGGTCTATTAATTGTACACAATCTTACCATGCATTTTTTCAAGAGGCTGTTTTCACGGTTCGAACCTGTAACCTCTTGGTCATATGGCAGCAACTTTACCAGTTGCGCCAAGGCTCCCCTTCCAATGAAGAATAACAAGCACATAAAACAAAAAGGGTGTGGATTATTCGGATCAAACAGAAAAATCAAATCGAACCAGTTTATTTATGTTAAGCTGTTTCACTTTAGGTTTTAAAAAAATAAAAATCAAAAAATCGATTATATATATATATAACACATTGTGATTCTTGGTATCTGCTCGGTAAAGAAATTAACTTGCTTTAAATAATGCCTACATTTATGATATTCGGCGTGCAAGCTTATTGTTGTTGGCTGTGGCATTATGCTTTTATAGAGATAAGTTGGCCCGAGAAAAAGAAAAAAATTGACTTTTTAAAGTCAATAAAAGATCATATAATAAAGCAGCAACAGAAGTGTTTGGCTATCTCATCAAAATATATATAATTATCTTATCAATACTAACTTTTAAAATCATATGAATTGAATTTTGAAAAAATAGTTAAGAGATTTGACAGGAATACTTCTCCTTCTTTATAATAGTTATTAATATAATTATTCAATTACATTAGATTCATATTATCTTACTCCATCCGTTTCAAGAAGAATGAATATTTTACTATTTTGGGAATCAAATAAGGTTATTTTACCATGTCTTTTGCAATTAGTTTTTGAATATTTTGAATTGTTAAGTATCGTGACTTCTAGAACTTTAATCTATGTCTAAATTCACACCAAGATTAAATCAAATTAACCCTCATACTTCGAAAAGGTTCAAACAAATTGAAACAGAAGGAGTATATGATATAACAGAATAACCGAAAAATCAAGCCGAAAAAGAAAAAACCCAAACCTAACCAAATTTACTTTGGTTCGAATTGGATGATACTTTTTTTCAAAATCAAAAACTGAAAAGAGAAACAACGTAATGCAAAGCAAACCAAAAAAACCGAATGACCCAAATAAGTTAGGGTCATATGAATTCTCACTAACCACGTTACTCGATTAAATCTCATCTCATGCCACAAATCAACACTATGATGCAAATTCTTTATTTATTTATTTATTTATTTCCCTGGGATACCACAGTCCCAACATTGGAGCTATAGGTGGATTACTTCATCGAATAGAAAAAGTATTACAAAATGCATTTGAAACGCAGGAGACCATATCTTGCTGCAAGTATAACATATAGTAATCCTAGCTTATGTAACAAAGAGACCATACACTAACTAAAAAAAGAAAGATGTATGTTTTCCCAACTCTAATGTAAGGAAATGAAGCTGTTACATCTAAAAGCTTCCTGACTTGAGTAGGTAATTCGGTGAAGCTATTGAAGAACAGATAATGTTGCATCTCAAATCCACTACTGAAGGAGAATCAAAAAAGATGCCATGGATATAAATAATAAGAAAATTAACTTTTTTTTACAAGTTTGTTGAAATTGCAGCCATCTCTATCCAAATGGCTTGTTCATTCTACATCTCTCAATTCAATTCGATATTTTAACACGATTTCTGAGCTAAAAAGACTAAAAACCGGAAGTATAAATTAGCCTGAGCAGTGAGCATTACTACAGATGAAAATGGCATTATGCATTTTGCAGAACATTTTACCAACACGTGCACACACATAGGAGTCGTTTCCTGGGCAAAGTTACAACAGTTCTTCACCTATTATCTGCAAGCCACTTCAAGAAATCAAAACCAGGTGGCAATCGCCACGTTGTTTCGAATAGTTTTAGCATACACAGCGGTAACTCGGCAGAAGGCTTCAAAGATGAAGACCCTTGTAACTGCCAAAAATCATAAAGAACCTAGGAACCAAAGAAGGCTTAATGCGTAAATCATCTTTAACATTACATCTTTGTGCCTCTTTCTGTGTTTCCCAACTGTTTTTGGAGTTGAAGACAGAGTGCTGACACATCACACAGCAACTTCTGGTATTGGCATACAGTTAATGCCTCATGAGATATTTGACTGGGGTGCACTAGTAAATTTTGGAGTTGCATACATAGCATCGATGCCTTTCCATCATTTTCACATGATTTAGCAATTAACTGAAGCAGTGTACAGCTTTGCTCCGGAGGAGCAGGTAACTGTGGCGGAACAGGGGGAACAAGGAAAGGATGTTGGAGTAGTTGAGGAATCCTCCATCTTTCATTTCGGTCCCATGCTAGACACTTCTTCATAAGATCAAGTAGCCAGGGGTTGGACAAAGGTTCATATGTGATTTCATGGTTTGGATCCGTTATAACTTTGAATTTCGCCCAGAAAGTTTTGTATTCTGCAAAGGGTGTTCTCCCATAAACCATTTGGTAAAGGATACATCCTAATGACCAGATATCTGAGGGCCGACCACACTTAATGGTATTGCCATTTGCATCTGTCTCATTACACATAAAGGCTTCAGGGGACATGTAGCTTAAAGTACCCACCTGTATAAGAATTAACATCCACTAAGAAAGCAAGGATGAAGTTGACATTGTTGATAACCATGTTTTTATCTTCCTTTTGGAAGTACACTTATTTCTTTTAGCTGCCGGGGTGAGGCAATCAGATGCATTCCATGTAAATCATAAAGCAAAAGAGTGGAATACCTGTGAATCACGTTGGATGTTGGTTGTGTCACTCATTATAGCCTTCGCTATACCAAAATCAATCAGCTTTAGTGAGCCTCGGACAAGAAGGAAATTAGCTGGCTTTAGGTCCGAGTGGACTATCCGTTCCTCATGTATGGTGTTAACAGCAAGAAGTATTTGCTGCAAAGTATGTTAAGAACTTTTGAGTGCAATTCAAAAATATTAAACTTTTACCAGATTCACAAAACCACATAATGTACTACATACAACAGTAGAAAATGAGAATAAGTATTGGTCTTACTTTGAATTATAAGCTTTTGTTGAGGGCGAACAACAACAACTAGGTATAGAGGTGGGTATTGAAAGATTTTCTTTCAGTACCCTAAAAAACCATAAACCAAAAAGGTTTGCAGATTGAGATAGAAAAAGCAATGATCTCAATTTTTGGAAAAGCAACTGACTAAAGATCCTTTGTTCTGTTGTTTATAGCATTTGCTTATGACATACAGGAACAGACTCCAAAATTGGACTGTATTTAAGTGATGGCCAGTCTCAGATAAGGCATTTTGCCCTAGGTCTGTCTCTAGGTTTGTGAATTTAAGTTGAATATGGAATTGCATACACCGTAAAATTGATAGAACAGAGTGAATAAAATGGGGAATGGATCAACTTTCCACCATTCATTTTGAAGGAGTACTAAAGAACGTTGAGGTTCAAGAGCTCATCAAGACATAATACTGAGAATGGTCATCGAAAGCACATTCCCAATAAGAGAACTTGGAACAGTATTTCATCTTCGCCAAAAGCCCGAGAAAGGTATTTTGGATCCCGTCGGTTTTGACCTTCATGAATATATGCTAAAACCACTGTTAGCAAAGAACAGCGCGTAAAAGGTATTCGCAAATGAGTCGATTTACCCCTCTGAGATTGTTACATCTTTCTAATGAGACCCTAGAATCTTGTGACCTCCTAAAATGCACGCTTATATCAATATGCAGGCATGAGATGTGAATGATGAAATGTTATAACTCTTTAAAAGCATAAGATGAATTACGGATTGAGCAACCTGAATTGTACACCAACCGAACGATAGCTGTAATCCTAATTGTTCCAGAATTAAATACTTAAACTGGAAGTACCATAATGATGTATATTGAAGTCAAACATAAATTAATATTGGCTTAACACATATTTTACCCCTCCACGGAAATTCCTTTTACACGCCTTTTCTTTGCAAGCATCCGTTTACACCTTAATTTGTAAGATTCGTGTCTAAAATCCTATGAACATCCTACGATCACTTTCTTCACGAAAGTCCACAACACGCACCACTCACGGCTCAATATGTGTCATAAAGTAAAAGAAAAAGCATACTTAAAAAGCAAACTAAAAATTTCCCCTTTATTTCTCTTTTTCTTCCTCCATTTCCAACCAACACAGGCAAGCTGATATTTTCCATTCCTAATTTTCAGTTTTCATTGTCCAACACCTTTAATCGCCCTTACCCAACTCCTAAAAAAAAGAAAAGAAAGAGGAGACAAACAAACGAAGAAAAGTGGAAAGGCCATTAATGCACATTGATTCGCTGCTGGGTGGTTTTTCCCTCAGAATAGCCCACATTACCAAGTCAGTAGAGCTTTATCTCATATCCCCTGTCAATTTACTTCCATGCATAGACCCCAAAGGCCTGAACATTTTTCAAACGCAGCAAAGCTGTATTGTTGACAAAACTCTGTTTCAAAGTCCAACAACGCAAAATTTCAGACTGAAAATCCCTTCTCTTTACAGCTAATATAGATGCGGAAAATGTCCTCCTGCATCACGAGTTCACCTCTGAATCATAATGCTCAAATGAATTGCAGCTTCAAACACATGGCAAGAAATTAAAGAAAGACGACCAGGAAGAAGAAGAAGAAGATAGCACGTTCCAGGATAAACAAATTTGCTTTTGACAAATTTCTGATGTGTGATTATAAAAGAGTTTATTTAATAGTGATGAAGAAAGTGAATATGATAACAAGATGATGCTTTCTCTTCAAGGAAACTTAAGTGAGATTATTAGGGTTTATTTAGTAGTGATGAAGAAGAGACTATTCTGTAGCATCATCTTCCTTCCTTGCCGCCCTTCTCCGACTGGTATTTGCCCCTCTATTTCAGTACTAGAATAATCATAAACAATGCTGGAAGAGACCCAAAATATCGATAGAGGGCATCTGGGGATTCAAAGAAAGAGAATTTCCTTGGTAATTTTTCATAAGTTTCTGGAAGGTAAAAATTTTCATCAAATAAACTCAGAAAACCATCAAATTCACAGGTAAAAAATGGGGAAGGAAAGGGAATTAAGGAAAAATGTATGTCTTAAACACGTGGCACTCAAATAAAGCCTCAGAGAGAAGGTTTCCGCTGTTATCTTGATTGTTTTATTCTCCATGCGCATGCCATATGTGGTTTTAGGGGGGCAATAGTTCCACTTTCACAAGTTGGGGGTTGTGTAAAAGGAAGTCGCTAAGAAAAGATTTGTAAAAGAATTTTCGTACAAGTTTAGGGGGTAAGGTATATACTAAAGGCATTAACATAGAATGCCGAAGTAAGATAGATGCAAGGGCATAGAAGAATTGGTTACAAGTTTATCATAAGACGAGAAATAAGTACACCTGTTAGCTAAAAAAGTAAAACTTGTTCACTTTGACTCAGAACAGGAAAAATTTAGGACCTGGAATTATTAAAGGAACAACTTAAGTTTAGGACAAGGAATCCACAGTAAAGTTAGGTCACGACAGCAACTCCACAATAATTTCTAACTGCAGTTAAAGGTGAAAAATAGAAGGAAATGACCTGCCAGTAAAATCGAAGCCAGTTTTCATCTATAATTGAATCCGAGTCATCTAGTTCCTTCCATTTTTGAGATAGCATATGAGCCAAATCAATTTCACCGTATTCGAGAACCATGTATATGTATCCGTCTTCTTTGACTCTGCTTTCATTATTACTCATCGAACCATTCATGACTTCATCTAGTAACCTCTTATCTGTGACCTAACAACAAAACGGACGTCAGTATTTGCTCAGAAACTAAACTGCAGATATCGAAAACCCCAGATAGTGACCCCCAACACCAAATACAGGCACATGAAATTCTAGCCTCATCAGTAAGCCTATACTTTAGGTTGAGTAGCTAAGCTAGCAATTTAAACACAATAATACCTGGAAACAATCAATCATTCTGTGTCAACCCAGCTTTTGTTTAATAAACCCATAAGATTTTAACTCTTCAAGACAAGAAGATCTGCCTATCAGCTTTTCAAAACTGTAGCTACTACAACATTACAGACTGAATGTTCTGAGTTAAAATCAAGAGAATCATCATGAATATTATGTAAATATTTTCCTAACGATTACATTATGGTCAAGAAAATCATTGAGATATATGACATAATATTTTCAATCCTGGGAATTAGGAAACTTTATGCTCATAATTACTATATAAGGAGTGCTAATGTTCATAATAAACTAACTTCAAAATGTTAGATATGTACATAATGTAGTCTTGTCCCATATTGGAATGGGAGTAGTATGTCCTTGTATAGTATAGCTATAAATAAGGACCTCTTGTATTGTATTGAACACACAATATCAATATATCATATTTTCTCCCGTGCCTTCTCACATGGTATCAGAGCTATCATGAGAGATTTATCGTTGTGCATAAATTCCAGCGATTCCGGGAAGTGAAATCAGTCACCGGAACCTTTTTTTCCGGCGACTTTTCAAAGTTGTTTTGCGTCTGCTTTGTCTCGGTTAGTGTTGTGCAAAATCCAACACTACCACAAGAGTAGTCACTGCCCGGCGACCAAACCCCAGTGAAAATCTCCGGCGGTAGTGTAGCGGTCGGAAGAAAATTTTCCGGTGAAGTTCTGACGTCGCGTGCGCCACCTTGCGGCCATTTTTTGGCGACGATTCTTCGGGACAGATTGTTCCCCTTGCAATTCCGAGCCTACCCATCCAGGTTACACCAAATTCCGACCACTTTTATATTTTTCCGGAGTGAACAATGATTTCAGAAGTGGACTTCCGGCCATTTTTTGAAAAAGTTTCTTCAGAACAGTTGGGTCGTCTGGTAATTTCGATCCTATCTCTACTGTTTTTATTTCATTCCGACCACTTTGAATTTTTCCGGCTGCTACAGTAATATTCCGAGAGCTACAGTATTTCTGGCGTGAACAGTGTTTCCCTGCTGTAAACAGTGATTTCTTCAGTTTTCCCAAAGGAATTACTAATTTTCACTATTTCAAGTTAACCCTACTACTATTAATTGTAGCAACATAGGAACCGATACTTCGAATAGTCGGATGGTTTCTTTAGTAGATTATTTTGAATTTCTTCAGCACAAAGCAGGTAAGCAGACATCTTCTGAGATAGCTTCCGTTGTTCAAACAGGTAATAGCGTGACTTGTGTCTCTCAATCTTCATCATCTGAGTCTTGGGTCATTGATTCAGGTGCATCGAATCATATTTCTGGTAACAAATCTCTTTTCACTACTATTTCGTATTCTCAATCTCTTCCAAGAGTCACAATGGCCAATGGGTCTCAAACCATGGCAACTACAATAGGCCAAGCAAGCCCAATTCCTTCCTTACCTTTAGATTCAGTTCTTTATGTCCCTAATAGTTCTTTTAATCTCATAGCTGTTAGTCGCTCAGCCAAATCACTTAAATGTGTCGTTTTATTTCTTGATGACCATGTTTTTATACAGGAACGCAATACAGGGCAGATCATTGGTACCGAATATGAATCAAATGGACTTTATTACCTTATCCTTGCTAAATCACATGGACTCACATCTTGTCTTCCTTCAACAACTTGTCCTGTTACTGATTCACCAGATTTATTACATAAACGGTTGGGACATCCTAGTTTGTCAAAACTTCAGAAAATGGTACCTGATTTATCTCACTTGTCAGCTCTAGAGTGTGTCTTGTCAGCTCGGTAAGCATACTCGCTCTCATTTTCCTCGACGTATTGATAATCGAGCAGAGTCACCTTTTACTTTAGTCTATTCATATGTTTGGGGTCCTAGTCGGGTCAGTTCTACCTTAGGATTCCGCTACTTTGTTAGTTTCATTGATGACTATTCTAAGTGCACCTGGATATTTTTGATAAAAAATCGATCTGAGTTGTTTTTTATTTTTTCCAGACCTTTCACGCTGAAATTCAAAATCAATTTGGGGTTTCTATTCGCATATTTCGTAGTGATAATGCCCGA